GGCCACCGCATTGCTCCGTTGGCTCCTAGTCCACTGTCACCGAAAGCTTAGGCTCTTTTCACAGGAATGGCAACGAAGTCAGATCTTCCCCCCTCCTGCCTTCTCTGTGGATTTTGAATCTCCTGAAAAGGCCCTTAAAGGGGTGCCTGGGTGGCTCAGTCAGCTAAGCATCTGACTCTTGATTTTGGCTCAAGTCTTGAGCTCAGGGTCGTGAGATCAAGCCTGGTGTCTGGCTCCGTGCTGGGCGTGGAGCCTCTTAATGTTCTCTCTCTCTCTCTCTCTCTCTCTCCCTCTCTCCCTCCCCCACCACCTCTCTAAAAAAAGCGGGGAGGGAGAAAAAGAAAAAGAAAGTATTCGAGAGCCTAAGGAATCAGAGCCACAGAGGAAATGGGTCAGGAGAGGAGGGGAGAGATAACAGTCAGAGAGGGGGGGAGTCAGGGAGATAGAGGCCAGAGCCGGAGCATGGGAGATGAAAGTAAGAGACAGCGGAGGTGATGGAGTCAAGGAACGGAGTCATCGGGGGATGGGGGCAGCGGCAGGGAGGAGGGCCCAGAATTTAGAGACCTGGGGAATCGGAGACCCGAACAAGGTAGCAGAAAGATAAAGTTTAGGAAAAGGAGGAGCTCAGAACAGGTAGGGCTTGGGGAAGGAAGAGACCGGCCTTCGTAGGGCCCGGAGCAGGGAGAGGCCACTGGGACGGAGCAGTTAAGGGTGGGGAAAACAGCTGATCAGGGAGGGTGAACTAAGCGGGAACGCAGATCTCCAGCAGCGTGGGCTTCCTTTCGTGCTGAGTCTTGGGTTAAAGGGAGAAGCCATTGCCAGCGTCACATCGTCGTGCCACTGCGGGGCTGTTCGGGTGGGGGGGGGGGGGGGGGGGGAGGGGAGGGGGAGGGCCGCCACTGCTGCTCTGGAGCCTGAGATAACGCCACCCGTGGGCTCAGGTGAGGTTCCGAGGAGGGGCCGGAGGGGCTCCTCTCTTCCTCCGGGATTCACTAGGACCAGGCCCCCACAACCAGATGTCTAAGCCTTCAGAGAACAGGCCCCTCACCTGCTGGGAATGCAGGGGCCGGGAGAGGACACAGGAGTGGGGTCTGGGCTGGCTTGCGGGGGGCGGGGGCGGGGGCGTGGGTCCTGTGTTTTAACACGGGGCTGCCAGGGGCCACAGGGAAGGGCAGCACCGGGATGAGGAGACCGAACTGAGGGTTCCCGAGAACTGGAAGAACATCAGCCCCAGTGGATCATGTGGCCCTTGGCCAAGAGTCGTGGTTCTTCAAGAGGAATCCCTTGTAGTCGAGGCAGCCCTGTGCTGGCAGCCGGGCTCTCCGACCCGTGAGAAGAGAAAGGCGGAGCAGGGCCTTCTCAGCTGAAGCCGTGTAACACTCTGCTCTGGGGCTCGGGGGTTTCCCTTAACCGAGGCCAGTGGGGATGGGGGCCTCTGGGGGAGGAGAAAAGGGGAAGGAGGTGTTTGGGGACAAGGGGGCGGGGCTCAGGGCAGGAAATGAGCTAGGAACCACCATCACCCTCCCTCCACTGCAGGAGCCACAGCCCAGAGCTGAGGAGAGGACAAAGAGGAAATGACAGATTGGGGTGGGGTGGGATGGGGAGGGGGGGAAACGTGCCCCGCTCTGGGAGGAGCTCCAAGTGCCAAAAACAAGCTGGACTGGGCAGCCAGGATACCTGCGGTCAATTTCAAATCAAATCAAGCTAAGTTTGTGAGTGGCTACTCCATGCCAGGATGAGCCCAGGGTTGTCCCTGCTCCTGCTGGCTTCCGAGCCCCTCTAGGGAACCCAGGGAGGCAGTAGACAGGCCCCAGAGACAGTCCCACATCCACTGCTTTGCACCCTGCACCCCTATCCTCCAACCAGCCCCAGGGCATCTCTCTTACCCTACCCGCATCCCCCATTTCGGCAGCTTCTCCCCTCGCCCTCCGCGCCTTGAACCTGTTCCTCCTGCGCACAGGGAGGGTCATGGAGAACGGGGAAAGTCCCACCCCACACCCTCACCTGCAGCCCAGCAAGGCTGCAGAGGGCCCAGAGCCCCACAACCGTGTCCCTGGGCGCTCTCCTCCAACCAGGAAACCCCCACCCTCCCCAGTGCCACCCTCAGACTCTCCCAGGGCCCTTCTCCTGCTCCTTTCATTCAGACCCAAGGACCATCTATTGGCCCTTCTGCCACTCATCTGCCGACCCTGTCGTCCTCCCAGCCTCCCGCTCGGTCCCCAGCAGGGATGCCGTCACCTCTCTTTTGCCGGCTTCTCTCAGTTTCTCATCTCTCCATCCTCTCCCCACCCCCAGCCTCCCCATCCCCAGGTAGTTCCGCAAGGGAGCTCCCCTGCCTTCTCCACTCAGCCACGTTTCCTGCCCCACTTGCTCGTCAGCTTCCTGGGCGCCGACCCCAAGCCACTGCCCCTTCGCCATGTCCCTCGGACCGGACCAGATTGCAGAAGCGCCATGCGCCCCACCCAACAGCAGCCCTGAGCCGCCTCCTTACCCTCCTGGCCCGAACGCTGTAGCTGCTCCTGCAAGTCACACCCAAACACCCGCTCCTTCGAGCTGCCCTTCTTCTTTCCTTTCTGCCGAGACTTCATGGCTGGAGCCCCCCGGGCCCTGGCCCAGCCACCTCTGCCCGCCCCAAGACCTTTGCCCTACCAGCCCCCCATAGGATCCCAAGCCCCTCTGGGCTTGGCCCGGCCCCAGGGGGCAGGGCTCCGAACTGGGGGTGGAGGGTGGCCTGGGCAACAGGCAGCAGCTCCTGCCTCTGACTCTGGGGGCCCCCCCGGCTACTACACGGAAGTAGCCGTGGAAGAGGAAGCTGCCAGGACCCTGACAAGAAGCTGTGTCTCGTGGCCCAGGCTGGTACTCGCCCCTCTGGCCCTGCTCAGCCCTGGGGGAGCAGGAAGCTGTGCAGCTCCTCCAGCCCGCTTCCTGTTAGAGCATCTTTGCAACCACAGGGCCTGGGGTGGGGGAGGCAGCTGACATTCACATCCTCAACCCTTCACTGGGACTTCACTCATTGGTCAAGGCGATGTGACATCAGAGCCCTGGGGTGGGGTGGTGGCGCCTGGGGCGTGAGCAGGTGACTGACACCCTTAGAGACCAGAATTCGGGGGGTCTGGGGTGGAGACTGGAGGCTGGCTTGAAAGCAAGTTGGCACAGTGCCCTGCAAAGCACCCCCCGGAGGGAGGATGCCCAGGCTCAGCCCCAGACAGGCCTGTGACCTCAGTCAAGTCACATTACCTTGACGAGCCCCAGTGTCCACACGTGTGACCACGAAGGGGGTGAACTAGGTGATCTTTAATCCTTCCAGCTCTTTTTTGTGGACCTCACTTGGGTGTTAGCTTCTTTGTAAAGAGTGTACGTACTGCTGTTCACTCCCAGGCCTGTTTTGGGGAGACTCCGACGCGACCCAGGAGTGACGACACGGCACACGAAGGCGCGGGCTGTGCGGGAAGGGGCTTTTCGCTCTGTCGGCCTGCCCGGGGAACTCTCAGAGGCGGCAGAGGGCATTTCTTTCTCCTTAGCCTCCCAGCCACAGGCGTCCTAGCTCCTCCCCTACTTGGGGCCGAGGGGAGGAAGGTGCTGAGAGGGTGTCGAGTTGCCCAGGGGCAAGAGAGGAACCAGGCAGAACAGCTTTTATCTGTTTATTTAAAAACAGAATATCATTTTATGTACAAATATGCACATATTTACACAAAATGTACATCCTAGGACCCCAGATCGTTGGGCTCCATGTTCAAAGTCCTGGGCTGGTTGGGGAGCAGGGGATGATGTCTCTCTGTTGGTCCAGAAATCCAGCAGATTTCAGGCCAAGCAGGGTTTGGGCACAAAATCTAGGTATTCTGGCTGAGTGTGTTCAGGTGGGCCAGGCAACAGTGGACCGTATCTAACCCCAGCCCAGACCCGCAGAAACTGCCAGAAGAGCCCCAGGTTGGTGACCCCAAGGCCCCTGGGGAAAAGGAGACATTCCTGCCCCCAGCAGCTCCTTCCCCCCCCCCCCCCCCGAACCCCCCCCCCCCCCCCCCGTCCCTTGGGCTGTGATCACTACCCCGTCTCCCCTACACCACAACCAAACCAGGAGCCCTTGTCACCCAGTCCCCGCAACCCCCCCCCCAAGGGACCACAGACAACTGCCGATGCAGCGAGGAGCAGAGAGGCGGCTAGGGGAAGGGCCCAGGACCCCACCCTGTCCTCCTGCAGCCAGGGACCCAGGGGCTCACGCCCCGACTCAGACTCCACAGTGCCAGGCTCCCTCCCAGGAGGCTGCCTAAATTCAAGTGCCTTAGAAGGGGCACCTTTCCGAGGCACAGGCATGAACCCCCTGCCGGGGTCTGCACAAGGCCTAGCTTTGCTGACTTTCCGTGGAGGCTGGCCTCATGCTAAGCAAGCCAAGTAATAACAAACATCCAGATAAATCAAAAGTTTTTTTTTTTTTTTTTTTTTTAAGATCTGTTTCTCTTATTAAAGTATTCGGAGCAGTATTCCTTAAAAGAAACTCCCCCAGCAGATTTACTTATAGAAAATATGCACATGCAGCAGGCCCAGAGAACACCAGAGGCCACCAGAGGCCACCAGAGTGCCAAGGGCTTCTCCAGTAAGGGCGCTAGTCTCTGGCCAACCCCTGGGCTGGCTGCTTCAGCGTTCGCCCCTCGGCTCCCAAGTGGCGGGAGCCCGGCTCCCCAACTCAGGAGGCCAGAATCCAGTTCCAGCTATGCCTGCACACCTGGGTCTGACCCACAGTCTCCGCCTCTCGCCTCCAACTTTGCGTCATTAATACTGCTCTGGGGTCTGAGGAGATAACCTGCGCTTCCAGGCAGAGGTCACACAGCCACGCCATACACAAGCCAAGCCCATCACAGTTCACTTGGACTCTGACGCGCACACACACACACACACACACACACACACACACACTGTCTGTAAACACACACAAGCACAAGCGCGCGCGCGCACACACACACACATGAAGGGGGTGGGGAGGACTCAACCGGCAGAGCCCCCCACTGTCAAACAGAAGGGTTGGAGGAAAAGGTCGAGCAGTCAGTGGGATGAGGAGCATCTTCCTCAAGAAATAAGGTGTGTAGGGAGGCCTCCGTGTGATGAGTAGAAATTCCCCAGGTCAGCAGAAAGAGCCGGGTTCGGGGAGGGAGGCAGGCCTGGGTCAGACCAGGTGCCCCCGCCCATTGATGTAGATGCCATTGCCCGTGGGTTTGGCCCGCAGGGTCCCATTCTCTTGAACAAAATGGTTCATGGCCTGTTTGATGCCTTCATCCCGATCCTCCTCCTCCTCTGCCCGCCCAGAGCCTGGAGACAGCAGTTCCGTCTGTGTTTCAATCTCCCTCACCGTGGTCAGCGTGGAGTAACTGCGGCCCTCCGGCTCTTCACTCTGGACACCAAGGGCAGGGGCGCGTCAGGAGCCAAGGCAGGGCAGCCAGACCGGCGGTGGCGGGGGGGTAGGTGGGGGAGCAGTGGGGTCAGAGGTCAGGTGCAAGCTCAGGGGCTCAGAGCTGGGGGCCGGTAGCGAGTGTCAGGCATGGGGAGGGACAGCCGGAGAACAAAGGCACAGCAGAGGTGCCAGGGCTGAGACACGGGGACTGGTGTGGGGCCACTGGCCCACCACATCCGGGAGCAGGAGAGTGGTGGGGACGCCGGTGGGGCCGGGGGCCTCACCATCACAGAGCAGCTACTGTTGTCCTTGAGACTATCAGGGTGGCCCTCGGCTCTCAGCCCTACACTCTCCTCCGGCTGTGGGGCCCGGACACGGGGGAGGAGTCAGAACAGGGCTCCACCTCCTCCCTCACCACCGCTCCCCCCAACCCGACCTGTCCACTCTCCCTGATGCAGACGTCCTCACCGCCCCCGACCCAGCCCCACCCTGGAACCGGTGCTGATGGTGGCCTCCCAGAGCAGCCCCCAGGCCCGTGGTGAAGGGAGCCAGGCGGAGGAGCCCACAGACCCAAAGCAGCTGCGCCCCCAGCTCCACCCCCAGCCCCAGCTGCGAGTCCGGGCCAGACCCGGTGGAGGGCCGTGCTCCTGGTCCGCAGAGGGACCCCCGGCCCCGGGGGATGCACTCAACCTTGGCACACACCTGGCTCCTGGGGTCCGCGTGATGGGAATGCAGCCTCCGGATGGAGTTCTCCCTGGTCAGGGTCAGCTCCTCCTCACTAGGGAAGACACGCCCCTGTTAGCAGCTGAGGGTAGTAGCGGCCTCCCAAGGTGGGCCTAGCTTTGGCCAAGCCTACGTGACACCGGGCTGGAGGGGCCGGGCTCTGTGCTGTCCCCGCGAGTGTGTCTGAGAGGCTGCAGGGGGCGGGGTGTGTGTGTGCGCGCACACGTGCCTGCACCCCGTGTTAGAGTGTGCGTACTTGGTGATACCCGGGCATATGGATCCGACCCTCACTCAGCAGTACGGTTCTCCCCATTCAGCCGTGGCCCAGGCCCTTCTCACTTCCCGAAGGACTCTGCCCGCCTCCGAAATAAGCTCCCAGGCTCTCCCCTCTCCCGGGGCCTGGCCCGCACCTCCTGCTCACCTCGTCTTTGCTCCCAGCTTAGCTCTACCCGCCCAAGTGCAGCCAGTACTCACTATTTCTGGGTCATCTGCTGAGCCTTGCGCCGGTGGTAACGGGACATGAGCACCACCACCACCACAAGAAGGCAGAACAGGAGCGCAGCGATCACACCCACCACCACCACAGAGGCTGACACCAGGTCCACCTGCTTCCCTGGGGCATCCTGAGGGTCTGCTGGAGACAGGCCTCTGTCTGAGGGGGATGCTCAGATCCCTGACCCACCCCCCCCCCCCCCAAACCCCGCCCCCCCGTACTCACCAAACACATCCCAAACCACCCCCTCAGTCTGACCCCCTGCAAAGTTCATGCAGTCTCGCCCCTCCGAATCAGCACTGCCCCAATTCACCCTCTCCGTCTCGCCTGCTAGTGCCCCTCCAGGCCCTTGGCCCAGGCCCCCGCGGCTGCCCCGCTGCTTACCAAGAACATCCACAGTGACCTGAGAGTCCCTGGAGGAGAGCTCATTGCTGACGTGGCAGACATAGATGCCACTGTGCTCTGTGGTCAGCGGAGGAAAGCCCAGCGTGTCCCCTTCCGCTCGGACCCCACTGGGCAGAGGCCCGTCCAACCTGGAGGACAGGGAAGCTGGGGCGGGCGGAGGCTGCCACCACCCGACGTGCCTGGGCAGCTCTCTACCTCCCTCCCCCATGACGTCACCCAGAGCCGCTGGCTGTTCCCACGGTGCCCCTCCCTCCCCCAGGCAGGTCCGGGCAGAGGTCCCTTCTCCCTGCCGCCCAGCCTGACCCGGGCACCCCCCACACACACCCGGGGAAGATCCACACGTGTGCCATCCCACAGGCTCCCACGGGCATCACGTCATCCAGCCCCGGGTACCAGGCCGACGTGGCACGAGGTCCACACAACGGGACACCCCTTTCCTATCTGGGCTCAGATGTACTTGGGAAAATGTGACCGCACGTCCCAACACCCAAGATGTTGCACGGCAGGGTATACGAACAGAGCCCGAGGCACAGGCCAATGCACGGCTCAGTGGCTCACACAGGAGAACGTGCCTGTCGGGGGCTCCCACACGGGTGCACCTGACCCCTGCCTGAGTCCCTGGACGTCTGTGGTGGTGGCGCCGGCAATGCCAGGGGGTCAGAGTGTCACTTTAAGAGCAATAACAGCCAGATGTATCTTTTTGTCTCGTCCGCTTTAGGCACTCACATAAATACATAAAATGCGGTTCTTTAAATACTGTATTATATTTCATAATTTGAAAGTTAGGGGGAAAAACCAAGGACTTATTGGCTTATTCCCTACCAGTGACCATGTATTGCAGACTCCCTGGTCCAAGTCAATAATAATATTTGGTGACCATGCACATTCTTGCATAGGTCTAAGCATGTGCCCCAATTTATTTGGAGTTCAGGATATATTGTCCCAGCCCATAAGGAGTACACAGGACTGTGAAGGCAGGACCCTGGTCCCAAGCTACGCCCTCCCCCAGCGCCAGGCTCTTACCGTGTCCAGTTGTACGAGGGAGGGGGGTGGCCTTCACTCAGGCACTTGAGTGTAGCTCCTTCTCTGCCAACCTGCCACAGCTTTTGGTCTTCAAGGCCCCTCACAGAGGCCTCAGCGAGGACTGGAATGGGAGGTGGGAGGAGAAAGAAGGGGAATGAGGCTTTTGATCATGCTGTTCCTCGAAGGACCCCTGCCCCTGCCACCACCCCGCCCCTCCCCCGCTTCTCTGTTTCTCTGTCCGTCTCTGCAGCCGAACCTAGCCCAGCGCATCCTTGCTGGGTCCTTGCCACACGGCTCCCTCCCCTCTCTGAGCTCAGAGTCCACACTGATTTATCTGGGCAACGAGCCTCTAAGTCCCTCGGAAAAGATTCACACTTTTTCTGAATCCCCTGTTGTCGCCAGCGGAGTCACAGAACAGGTGTTCGGTAAACTCTCCCTGATTCTCCAAAGGCTTAACAATCCTACTCATTCACACATTTCTTTAACAAACATTTGTTGAGGACCTACTTTGTGCCAAAGGCTGGGTTAGTATGAATAGAAAAGAGTCCTATGCCTGAAGAGGCTCAGAGTTTAATGCCAGGAAAACCTTATCTATTGCTTACTGAGTACCACCTAATGCACTACGCGTTGTGCGAGATGCTTGGTCTTCGTGGCTTCTAATTCCCATCAGAACCCTGTAAAGTTCATCTAATTATACTCCTTCTGCTGCTGGGGACAATGCAGACAAACAAGACTGAATAACAGCCGGTATGGAGCAGAAGTAGGGCTTGTCCAACGAGCACGAGGGCCAAGCAGTGGGGCCGGCAACCTTCAGCAAGCCTGTCTGTCTTCATGGGCGCCTGCGTGGCTCAGTCGGTTAAGCGTCTGCCTTCGGCTCAGGTCATGATCCCAGGGTCCTGGGATCAATCCCTGCATCTGGCTCCCTGCTTGGCGGGGAGTCTGCTTCTCCCTCTGCCTCTCCCCTTGGCTTGTGCTCTCTCACTCTCTCTCTCTCTCTCTCTCTCCCCCCCCCCCCCCCAAAAAAAAAAAACCTTAAAAAAAAAAAAAAAGCCTGTCTGTCTTCGGGTATTTCCAAAAAAGTGCTTTCAATCTCATGTTTATACCCGATTCTCCCAACAACCCTGTGGAGCAGGGCAATCTCCTTTGTAAACAGGAGGGCACTGAAGGTCAGAAGGTCAGAAGGTCAGAGGGGTCTGAGTGATCTGTCAAGGTCATCTGGGATGGGCTCCTGGGCGTCTCCCTTCGCACTAGTGCCCTCTAGGCCACACCAGGGGGCCTTCGGGATCCAGCCTGGCCAGACTGGGGTGGTTCAGGGTCTCTCTACCCAAGATCCAAGTACTCACAGGCCACTTGGAGGATGTGGGTGATCCTCTGGTCCTGGAGCAGGCCAGGGTGGGACACCACGCAGGTGAGGGGCTGCCCATTCATGCTGCGGCTTGGCACCAGGTGGAACTCTGAAGTGACAGCAGCTGAGCGGGAGTGCTTGAAGGAGCGGCTGGACGCTGTGCCCTTGACCTCCGTGTCCCAGGTCACGCTGGGGGCTGGGCTGCCCTCTGCCGTGCAGGAGGCTGCCAGCGTTAGGCCCTGGCCCTCTTCTAGCGCTGGCCCGGGGTTCAGTGAGGGCAGGGGAGGCACTGTAGGTGGTGGGAGGCAGGGGTCACGGTCAGCACACCCATCAGGAGGCCCTGCCCCGTCCCGGCTCAGTCTTGCACAGGCAAACATTTTCAGGCTCTTTTTTTTTTTTCTCTTATTTCACGAACACAGGCACCAGATGAGTGGTGGAATTTCAGCCGACTTCGTACCTTTCTCTACTGTTCGATTTTTTTACCATGAGCATGGATCATTTTTTAATAAACATAATGAAGCAAATACAAAACCAACCAGACAACATCTATATCCTAATAATCATAGCCACCACCTATTAAGCACTTGCTATGAGCCAGGTATTGTGCTAAACACTTTACCAATGTGATTTCATTTAATCCTGTCAACAGACCAGCAAAGTAGGGATCATTACCCCTGAGTCACAAGAGAGGAAACTGAAGCTCGGGGAGGCTAAATGATTTGTCCCAGATCGTCAGCTCTAAAGGGGACGAAGTCTAGATTCACACTCAGGATTTTCACCCCCAAGGCTAGCGTTGCTAAGTTCCACGTGGATAAAGGGAAACTAAAGGCCTTTATTTTTTATCTTCCTAACATGAACAGCTCAAGCACAAGATGGAAAAGATTTAACTAGGCCACAGGTCTAGGGCATCCGTGGACCATAAGAGCCCACAGTGCAAAGTAGTGGTTTAAAGCGATTGTGATCTCCAGTCCAACCACATTCACCCAAGGTCCAGATCAAGAAAAGTTATCAGCCTCGCTGGTCCGAGCTGGGTCTGCACGTCCATATCTCAGCCCCACATTTTTAAAACCATGGAGCCCAGGACTGCGAGAGAGGCTGTGAATGAGTGCTTTGGGTAGAACTGTAGCAGAGACTAGCACGTGTAGCTTCCAGAAGAGGAGATGGGGGTGGGGTGGGGAGAGGAACGACGAAGATCCCCAGCCCTTTGAAAGGCTGGGCTGCGGAAGACAGAATGAGCCTGGGCCACATGGCTTCCGACGGCGAAAGTGACCGAGGTGGGGAGTGCAGGTCAACAGACGGAAGAATATTCTAATACATGGATTCTTCCCCAAGACGGACAGAGCGGTAGGGAGCAAGCTGCTGAGGTCACTTGCCGAGAATTTCTAGATTGGCTGGGAGCACGGGCTGGATGAGGATCCCTCACCCGTGCAGGCCCCCCTCCCCTCTTCTTCCCGCTCTTCCTCGGCCCCGTGCCTTTCTGCAGACCCCATCTCTGCGTCCCCCGGCTTCTGCCCTCGAAGGCGCGGGCGCGGACCTGGGGCCCCTGCACACGCAGCCGACCCCCCCCCCCCGACGACCCCGGGCTGCCCCACTTACCCAGCACGCGGAGCCGCAGCCGCGCCTGGAAGCTGCCGGAGGGGAAGGTGCTGACGCGGCACTCGTACTCGCCCTCGTCCGCCTGCACCGCGTTGCGCAGGAGCACCGCGCCGTCCAGGGGGCTCCGTGGGGGCGGCGGCTGCTCCACGCGGCCCTCGTAGGCCGCGCTCACGTGCAGCCCGTATTGGAAGTGCAGCAGCGCCAGCTCCCGGGGGCCCTCGCCCGCGTCCACCCGCGCCCACGCCACCTGCCCCACCTGCTCGCCGGGGTCGCCTCGGTAGAAGCAGGGCAGCTTGGCGTCCTGGCCCAGCACCACGGTCACCAGGTCCGAGGTCTCCAGCTCGCCTGGCCGGCACCGGCCTGCAGGGGGCGGACAGGAGCGGCCAAGATTGGGGGGGCCGCCGGACGGGGGGGGGGGGGGGGGGGGGGGGGGAACGGGACACTTATGCGTGATGACAGCGAAGGCCACCAGAACTCCTGGAGCACTTTCTGCTTGCCAAGCGCGTTTCGTCCATTACCTCATAAGATCCACAAAACCTTCCCAAGAGGTGGGCGTCATTATCAACTTTTTAACAGCTGAGGAAACTGAGACCCGGAGACAGGAAGTGATTTGCCTAAGGCCACTGGGTCGCTGGCGGCAAGAGTCACACCCTCTCCCAGCCCAGGATCCTGTCCGGGGCAAGTGTGAGGTGGGAGGCTCTAGCTGGAAGAGAGTTACCCAGCCTCTGCCCTCAGGGAGCTCACGGTCCTCTCGGGGAAATGGATTCTATGCGCCCAAAGACCAGGGAAGCCAGGGACAGACTTTCACCGAAGGTCCAACCTACCACGGGGGGGGGGGGTGGGGGGGGAAGTGACTGCTTTCAGGAGGTGTGGCCAGGAGCCAAGGCAGGGGTTGAAAACAGTTGGCGTCTAGGATGGGGCATGTAGTGTGGGAAGGGTCCATCCCGAGAGGCCCTTCAGAACATTCTTTTCATGGCTTGAAGATGAGAGACCTGGATTCCCAGAGAGAAGAAGGTATTCCATGTGGGAGGAATGGCATGAACCAAGGCTCGGATACAGGAATGAGCAAGTCATCGAAGACAGAGAGGTCCCAGGTCAGAGGCCCGGAGAGGTGAGGTCAGGGCAGACACCCCGCGACAGGGTCAGGACGGGGAGCCCGAAGCCGAGGAGCCGAGGCGGGGACCAGCGAGGAAGGGTGCCTTGATGAGGAACAGTAACAAAGCACCCCGGGGTAGCTCTCACGTCACCTCATTTTCAAAGAAGGATCCCTTCCTTGCCCTCATGGAACCTGAGATCTGTTCAGGAGGAAGAAGTACATTTGCGGACAAACACAGAAAGGTGTGACAGTCTCGGATTTAGTGCTCAGTGGCGTGTTGCAGGCAAGCTGTGGGATGGGACAGTTACTGGGGACCTGAGTTCTGTGGGAGGGCCTGAGGCGGGAGTTGGGTAGGACCAGGAGGGGGAGAGACCCGGAACGGGGTTCCAGGTGAGGGGCCAAGGTGGGCAAACCCAAGGGGTGAAGAGGTTGGTTGGTTCAGGAAGCAGAGGGGGAAGGACACACCTAAGGCAGAGGGTGTGTGTTGAGCAGGAGCGGGACACGAGGTCGGGCCTTCCACACCAGGCAAAGGGAGTCATGGGGGGTCACTGCAGCGGGGGGCCAGTGCGACATGCCCTCCCAACTAGAAAGCAGGGACCCTGAAGACCCGAGACTCACTAGAAACCCTTCGTGCTACAGCACCGGGGAGGAGGGGACAGCCCTGGGGGAGACTCAGCAGGATTTGATCACTGACCAGAAGGAGAGATGAAAGACAAAAGACAGGGGGCGCCTGGGTGGCTCAGTCGTTAAGCGTCCGCCTTCGGCTCAGGTCATGATCCCATCCCCCACATGGGGCTCCCCGCTCAGCCGAGAGCCTGCTTCTCCCTCTCCCACTGCCCCTGCTTGTGTTCCCTCTCTCTCTCTCTCTCTCTCTCTGTCAAATAAATAAATAAAATCTTTAAAAAAAAAAAAAAAGAAAGAAAGACAAAAGACAAAGGCAAGTGCTGGGTTTCTAGGATGAGTAACTTAGGAAGGAGGCAGGGCTTGAGGAAGCTCAGGGTCGGGAAGAAATAAATGTGGAGCTGGGGAATAAAGCGTGGGAAGCATAGGGCTGGGGGCAGAGGGAGGGCTCTCCCTGGGATGGCAAGAGCTTCTTGCCTTGGAACGGACATCCGGCAACAACCAGAAGTGCGTAGGCCCTGCCTCTGACCAGCACTGCGCACACCTTGCTCACACTGTGCGCCTCCGGGAAGGCCCTCCTCCCTATGTCTGGTGGCTCCTACTCATCACTGTCTGGGTAACTCCTCCTCATCCTTTAGGACTCCGCTTAGACATCACCTCCTCCCGGAGTCCTCCCTTCCCCACCCCCACCCCCGCCTCGGGCAGCGTGAGGTGCCCCCGCCCCGTTCTGCCCTAGCGCCCTGCTCTCGCCTCACCATCGTACTTTATCCCCTGGGTGGTGTTCACCCTTCTCTTGTCCGCCTCTCTCACCGGACAGAGCTCCCCGAGAGTAGAAACTGGGTCTCACGTCACATAGGGAAACCTGGTTTCTGATTTAGTGCTCAGGGACACGTGGCTGGCATTCTTGGCACGTAACAGGTGCCCGATTAATTTTACTGACTGACTGAATGAATGAGAGCAAGAGAGAGAGAGAGGGGTCGAAGAAGGAAGGGTAGAAGGAAGAGGACTGAACCTTTGGTTGGGCTGGGCAGACAAGGAGGGGGCTGGCATGGCGACCAGGGGTGGAGGCAGGCTAGGCTGGCTACCTGGGTTCGCTGCCAAACGGAGCAGCTCTGGACTCACATAGGGAGAAAGAAGTGGGCGGAGGGGGCAGTTATGGAGGGAGAAGGTGAAGCCCCACGAGAGTGGACCAGAGGGTTCCAGTGGGGCAGAGCCCGGGCCAGGGGGAGAGGGTCCCATGGCCCTGCTAGCAGGGGTGGAGGGAGGGGGGATGCTGTTGGGAGGACCCGAACAGGACGGGACAGACCTGCAGGGCCAGATACCAGGGCCCTGACCTGCCTAAGCTGGTCTTGGTCCCACCCAGCCCAGCCTGGGAGTCCAGCTAACAACCGGTGCCCCTCCCAGACACCTCCTCCCGGCGCTGGAGGGTGCAGGGCTGCCAAGGAGGGGCTGGAGGTGGGCTTGAGATAGGGGCTCAGCCCCCGGCACATGGTGTCTGCGGTCCCACGGATCCCAAGCCCTGCTCCACCAGGACGCTCAAACCTTCCTAAAGACTATTTCTGAGACAATGTCAGATGGCATATTTTCCTTCCCTATCCCTACACTTGCCAACCATCTGCCTCTCTCCACAACTAGTCACCCACGTTTTCCCCGACATATACCTTCTCCAGGGCACAACAGGCATATATATGCCTGAGTCACAATCCTCCACGTCCCTCCCTGTGGGTGCAAGATCCCCACTCCCCAGTGATAAGCCCAAGCTTTGCGGGATGAGGTACCCCGGAAAACAGGAGAGTCCCTTCAGGACCTCTCCCACAGCCCCCCACTGTCCTAAATCCACTATTGAGCCGGAGCATCTCAGCTGGGGGCAACACCCTCCTCCAGTTCATGCACACACACACATGCACGCGCGCACACACATGCACGCGCGCACACACGCACGCGCGCACACACACGCATGCATGCACAGGCTACAACGGAAGGAAGAGAGAACTTGGGCTCTAGAATCCCCGTCCTGGGCTAACTGGACTCAGAAGCCCAGACTTCCAGGCCAGGGCAGGCCAAGACCGCCTCCTCCTCCTCTCCCCCACCCGGTGCCCGCCCGGCGTCAGCATGATGATGTCACCAGAGCAAAGGAGACACACCGCCTGCCTGGTGAGGTCACCCCGCGGGCATGTAGTTGCCAGGCCGGGCCAAGCCCACGGACCCTTCCGCAGCACACTGTTTGCTGAGGCCGGTGGACTCTGCTGGCTGGGCGCTCCTCCCTCCGCCCGTGCCCACCCCTCCTCCCGGGAGCACCGGGACGCTGGTCCGGAGCCGCGGTGATTCAGAGGCTGCCACACAGCAGCAGGCCTAGCCACAGCCGCCACCAGCCACCACCTTGCGCAAGGGAAAGAACAGGCCCAACTAGCCAGACGGGATCCCTGCCCTCAGCCTCCCCCACCCCTGGCCAGGCCCCCACGGGCCTCTTTGGGGCCCTGCCCTCTGTGTACCCCGCCCGCTCCCAGACAGGCCCTCCGCTCCTGGCCTGGGTTGGCTGCCTTGCTCCCTACGCCGGGCCTGGGTCCCAGCTTCCCTCTCTGGGTGAGGCCCGGCCTCTGATCTCAGGAGGGGACACTGAGGCTGGCAGCCACAGATCACAGCGTCTTTGGGGAAGGAGGCTTCTCTTTATGAGGGGCCTTTCTCCATCAGTATCCCTGCTGGTGCAGATAGGGGCACACGCAGGGGTCCTGGAGGAGGGTCTGTGAGGGGGAGGAAGGGAGTCAGTGTGAGCCTCCACGTCTGAATGTGTGACATCTTCGGGAGAGGGCCTGGCGGGTCTCAGTGCTGGGCTCACAAGGGAGGCCAGCTCCTTCCTTCAACTGGGGAGTGTTTCGCACTTGTATGTGCTCTTGGTCTCATCTTTAGGGAAGTGTAGGTGCTTGTTGGCGGCGGGAGAGAGGAGCCGTGCAGTGGCACATGCGTGTGAACGTGCGTGCAGGCGCTGTTCCGTGTGCGTCTCACCAGTCTGCATGCACGGTGCCCGTCCCTGGCCCGCGCGAGCCTGAATGCAGAGTAAATATTTTGATGTCGGTTTCTCCTGGGGCTGCTGCATGTCTGTCTGTCTTAGCTGCCCTTGGTGTGTGGCTCTGCACCTTGGCCTCTGCATCCCAGCTGGAGCGTCGCCAGGCGCCCCTCCCCACCTCACCCCAGACTTGAGGGCAGATTCATCTCAGGTGGAGATAGGTACCCAGAGATGAGGTCACTGTCCCTCCAGGTGATGGGAAATTGCCACCCAGGGCTCCCCAGCAGAACGAAACAAAAGCTCACCCTACCCTTGCTCCTCAGGTTCCTGCTAGAAGGACTGCCACCCTTCTCACCACTCCCCCCGGGAGCCCCCCCAGCCCCTCTGGCCCCCCAGGAGGCCTCTCCCTGGGAATCTGTCAGGCCTCTGCTGCAGCCAGCACCAGAAAAACCAGCTCCAGCTCCAGGCCTGGGGTGAGGGTTGTCTGGTGTGGGTTTGGTGGGAAGGGGGGGGGTCTTGCCTAGGGCTAAGGGGAGGGGTCCAAACTGGGGGGGGGCTCATTCTCCTTTGTTAACTCTTGCCTCCCCTCACCACACAGCAGCGGCCTCTACCAGACAGAGCTAGAACATGGGGGAGAGTCTGGGGGAAGAGAGGACCGGGGAGGAGCCCCGAGGCCCCCCATTTGGGACAGGTGGCATCAACAACCTGTGAGCCCGTTTTCTCCCCCCCCCCCCCCCCCCCCAACAACCTTGGCCTTGGAGTGCTAAGGAACTCTGAAAACCAGGAGATTCTCCCTCTGCCTTCATCCCCATCCCTCACTTAGCCCCCATTGTCCTAAGCCCCCCAGCTTAGTGAGAGCTTCCCAACCCGGGCAAAGTGCCCACCCACAGATTAGTGTCTGGGGAGGGGGGCCATACCAATCCCAAAGGGAGGCGAGAACAATGCAGGAGGACAGGCCTTGAGGCAGCCCGGCTCTGGCCCAGACACAGCTCCCAGCACAGATAAGTCCCCTAAACCCCCCGGAGCCAGAGTCTGAGCCCGGCTGAGTCACCACAACAGCCACACTGTGGGTGGGAGACCCGGCATTCAGCTTCTCCCAAACTCCTGAGATCCTAGCCACCCCCACCCCGAAATCCTGCCAGCCAACCCCCCCAAACTGGGGGCCAGCTCTGCCCCACCCCAGATCATCGCCTCAGCCCAGCTCTCAGGACACACCAGTCTTAAAGGCCAGCAGGAAGGGGGTGGCCAGCAATCTAGGGGAAAAGCCCCTGAGGCCAGAAGCTCCCAGGCCCAGTGAGACAGATCACCCCACCTCCTTCACAGGCTCCCAGGTCTGAACTTGACCTTCGACCTTCGTGTTAGATTCAGTGTTCAGATCCAGCCCTGGCTCCTCTCCTCCCTTCCCTCCTGACTCAGCTCCTCACCCCACTCCCAGCCCTTCTCTCGGCTAGCCCTTGGTCAGTGCTAGGGGAAGTTGTGGGGGCCAGAAAGTCCCCGCCTCCTTCCCTCACGAGGCCTGCTCCCTACAGTGGCCGTCCTCCTCAGCCTAGAGGGCTCCAGGGCCCCGACATGGTGCGCTAGAAGCTGGGACCATGGGCTCTGCGGCAAACCCCCCACTGCTATCTCTGTAGCGAGGGTCCCCTTAGGCCAGCCCCCCTGAAACACTAGGTTGGGGCCAAGGTCACTGGGGCCACAGGGCTTCCCCGGGATTCCCCTAGTTCCTGCTACCTTGGGTGGGGAATATGCCTCCCTTTCTGGCTTCCCTGGGTTGGGGTAGGTCCTGCAGGAGAGGGCCTGCCCCCCTCTGTAAACAGGAGTAGAAAAGGAGGGATGGGGCCCCTCCCTTTCTAGGGAACTAACCTCAGGTAGAAAGCTGATCCTAACCCTTGGAGGGCAGACCACAGAATTCAGGGAAGCCCTCACCCTCTGGTCCTACAGGACCCAGTTGGGCCCAGACAAAGAGCTAGAAACTAGCATCCTACTGGAGGGGTGCCTGTAGATTTGGGCCCCTCGGCCCTGGGGCAGGAGATGGGGGAGGGAGAAGGGAGGGGACCTCACCCGGAAACTCATCCCATTAAGAAGAGACAAAGAGCTGTGGTGTCAGGAGCCTCCCAAGCCTGGGCTCCTCTCCCTATTGGGGTGGGGCAGGGCCCTGGGGCTCAGAGCTCTAATGGCCCAGGAGCTGGGGGGGTGCTCTGATTTGCAGCAGGGCAGGGGCAGAAGGCAGCATCCAGGATACAGCCACCCTTGGTCCCCGCTGAGAGATGGGTCAGGACATTTCCCCTGGCATCACCACAGCCAGCCTCATCTCCTCCAGCAGCCCCCCCGCCCCCGGGGGCTGGACAGTCACAGAGCCATAGGATTGCAGAGCTGGAAGGCCCGTGGAGACCGTCAGGTCTTACCTCCTGGTCTGCTGAAGTCCACCCTCTTAGCTGCCCAAGGTCACCTAGCAAATTCATAGCGGAAATGGGGCCAGAACGCAAGACTCCTGACTGCCAGCCCAAGGGTTTTTCAGAGACAAGAAATAGTCCTGCTTCCGGGGGGGTTACACACAGTGGAGCCAGAATGGGGTGGCAGTGGAGGTGGGTATCAGGCTGGGAAGCTGATGTTGGGAACCAAGCTCCAGGCTTCAGAGCACCCTCCAGCTCTGCACAGGTCCTAAGCAGCTGCAGCAGAGTGGTGGCTCACTGGGCACCGGCCACCGGGGATAAGCCTGGGGCCAGGGTACTGCCGAAGCCACGGCACCTGTCCATCAGGCAGTGGGCAAGGTCAGGGTGATGCCCTGATTACAAGAGGTCTCCTCTCCCCTTCCCTGGGCTTCTCTTAGCAAGAACAGCTTTGTGTCCTGGAAAAAGAAGGCGGGGACCATGTCTTGTCCCCACTGCGTCTCCAGCACCTGGTACCCCAGCTGCACCCAGCGTGCACCCAGATGTGCGAGCCTTTAATGGGCGAGGGGTTGGGAGACCAAGACACTCACCCTGGTCATACTTCTAACACTAGTAATCCTTTTTTTTTTTGAGGGAGAGAGAGTGTGTGTGTGAGCAGTGGGTGGGGGAGGGGCAGAGGGAGAGAGAGAATCTTAAGCAGACTCCATGCCCAGTGCCAGCCCAATGCAGAGCCCAACACGGGCCTCAATCCCACGACCCTGAGATCATGACCTGAGCTGAAATCAAGAGCCTGATGCTCAACCTGGTGGCTGAGCCGTCCAGACGCCCCTAACATGGAGTAATCTTAAGACGTCACTTGCCTACCTATTTCTCTCAGTTTTCCCATCTGGAAAATGAGGCAGTTAGAGTGGTGACCTCTCTGATCCCTTCCACGTCCTGAGACCCCATGGCTCTGTCCTTCAGGGGTGGGTAGATCCCGCAGAAAAGTGGCTGCCAAGTAAGTTCCCTGGCCCCAGGGACAAGACCCCACCCTCTGGGCCTGAGCACGTGAGGAGGATTGTCTGGAAAATGGGAATTAAGACAGGGGTGAGAGGCAGGGGTTGGAGCTCAGTATCCTGTGATTGGAGACCGGCCAACGACCCTTCCGTCCCTTCCATTGTAAGCTCAGCGCAAAAGCGATGCCCACCCACCCACACATCTATGCCTCATTCTCCCCACAGCTTCAGCTGGGGACAGAGTAGGGAGTCACTGCTGGGCGCTGCCGGACGATGAGACTCCCTTGCAACTGCACCTGGGCCGATCTAGGTAGGGCTCTGTCTTCCAAGGACCAGGATTCCTCAGTTATTCTTTACCTTGGAAACAGCCTAGGGAATCCCACTGTGGCCTCACCGTGCACACACACGCATAGACACACACACACACACACACACACACACAGTCTCTGTCTCTGTCTCTGTCTCTCTCTCTCTCTCTCCCCCCCCACTCCAAAGATTATAAATTCCTGTAATTTATATGCACTAGGCAAGAGCAACATAAGGCATCTAGTCGAGGAAATAAGGGGACAGGGAATAAACAAATGAGGCTGCACCCTATCTAGAAGGTACCCTACCCTAGACCCCCACTCATCTAAGTATCGCGCCCACCTGACCACCCTGGCATTTAACAGTGTGCCCAGGGAAAAAGAGGGGCCAGAGTGAAGGAGCTTCCAGCTCCCCAGTTGTCTCCCAGCAGGGGCTCCGACCTCTAGGACATCATGGAGAGGAGAGAAGGTAACAGGAATGCCCTGTCCACTCTCTGGGGCATCAGGCTTCCTACACCCTGATGACTGCTAAAACCTGCTCAGCCCTGAGTCAGCCCAGCGCCAGTCAGCAGTTTTGGAGCCTGGCGTGGGGGGGGAGGCAGGCGAAGGAGCCTCCAGGAAGCCCTGGGGTGAGAGGGTCCCCACCTGTGCCGCCACCCCCCCCCCCCCCCGCCCACCTGTCCGGGGCCAGCACGTCTCTCCCCCCGGAGGCAGCTCTGGCTTAGGCAAAGCGATGGCAGAGGTGGTTGGGGACCCCAGACATAGTGACATGGCCCGGGGCAGAAAGAGGTCACGAAGGGGGAAGAGTGACCCCGGCTCTCGCGGAGGCACTCCTGGCAGGGGGGGTGGGAGAGAGAGATCGGTTCCTCAGTCCAGAGTCAAAGGAAAGAGAATGTTTTTGTGTGCGCGCGTCAGTGCGGGTGTGCGTGCGCGTGCGCGCGCTGGCTTGGCCTCAGACACAGGGGTCCTGACGGTCCGGCCGAGTCCTACCTGTAAATGATGCCAGCAGCAGCAGTAGCAGCAGGGCCTCGGGCCCCCACATCTCGGCTCCCAGGGACAGGGCCATCGGTCGGAAGGCAGAGCTGCCCAGTGGTTCTGAAGTTCCACCGAGTTCTCCCTGGGAGCCGGCTCTAGAGCTGGAGAGGGCACCGACCCAGGAGGCAGGAGATCACCGGGTCCACCTGCCTGTCCCTCTGGGGGTCTCTGCTGGGGACCCAGCCCCGCTCTGCCCACCCAGCTTGAGCTGCCCCCAAAAAGCCGTGGTCGGGAGCTCCGAGCTCCCCCAGAGCTGCTTCCCACGCCGTGGCCAACGACGACGGCGGCAGAAACCTGGGAACCTGCTCAGCAGGTCAGAACAGGTGCGTCTCCGGGGGTGGGGCCTGGCACGGAGACTCAGCAGCCACCGCCCCCACGGCCTGGGCTAGCTAATGGGCGCCACGGAGGGAGGGAGGGAGGGAGGGAGGGAAGGACCTGGCGGTGGGTGGGGGGGATCCCATTGTCAGCTCCAGGCTTTACCTGGCAGCATGGAAGGGGCTGGGAAGGGAGAGGCAAGGTGTGTGTGTGGGGGGGGCGGGGTAGAAGAAGGCCCAGGGTGGCTCAAAGAGGGAGGCACCAGGCCAGGAGGAACAGGGGCAAGGCCCTTGTGGGTGGAAAGGAACCCAAGCATCCCGCACCCTAACTAGCCTTGCTGCCTCCCCAGGGCCTTGCCAAGTTCCCCAATCTCCTGGAGGGGCTCAGCTTTGATGCTGAGAATCAGAGAAGCCGGGAACTGAGAAGTACAGTATTGGCCCATACACCTCATTCTCCAGATGAGAAAAGGGGCCCAGAGAGGGGAACGGGCTTGCTGGAGGACACACAGCTTCGATGGTAACACGGTTTTCTTGGACATCTCTATCTCTGAGACAGGGATCTAGTTCAAAGACCCCGGAGAAGGAGCTTAAGTGACGCCCTCCTGGGTCCCATCATCCGTAGGAGAAGCCAAAGGACTGATGGAGAAATTAGCCCCGCAGACTCCTGGCCTCCCTGGAGGGACCCTCTCTCAGCTTCAACACCTCCCTGTTACCCGGCCAGGAATCCCCAAAGTGCATCAGCACCAACTCTCCATGGTTCGTTTTACCCTTTTATGCCATGGTCCTGGGACGAGAGCACATGTCTGGACTTTGCAAGGGTAATCTTCATTTCAAATACTCTGTCCTTGTATCCTTGTAAGTATACTCACACTCGTAGGACCATGTGCATAAAATGTCACCACCAAGTCACACAAAACCTTCCTGGCCAATCTGGGGTAGCCAGAGGAAGGGAGCAAGCTCTGAACTCCCTGAAAACTGGGTGAAGGGGAGGGACAAGCTCACTCGCAGACTGGGGCTAAAAAAACAAAACAAAACAGGTAAGGGGCGCCTGGGTGGCTCAGTCGTTAAGCATCTGCCTTCCGCTCAGGTCGTGATCCCGGGGTCCTGGGATCGAGCCCCGCATGGGGCTCCCTGCTCGGTGGGAAGCCTGCTTCTCCCTCTCCCACTCCCCCTGCTTGTGTTCCCTCTCTCGCTGTGTCTCTCTCTCTTTGTCAAATAAATAAATAAAATCTTAAAAAAAAACAAACAAACAGGTAAATATGGAGTGAAACCTGAGAAAAGGAAATATAGGTTAAGCTTTGCAGCAGGACTCTTTTGTGTGGCCAGAGGCAGGAAGCAGGACTCGAGAGCAGTAAGGGAGGGTCATCTTGTGTAGACTATTTCCCACACCCCACAGCCCACACCCCCAACTCTGTCAAAATCGCATTCATCTTTCAAAGCTGACCTCAGATGCCACATCTTCCACGAAGCTTTCTCAGCTCCTCCCACCCAAAATGAATCTTTCTCCCTCTGTTCTTCCCCAGCCTCTGCTAGTCCCTTTATTATAGCTTATGTACCATAATTTGTGCACATCTTATCTCCTTACCTAAATGTAAGCTTCGGTTCACAAAGCATGGATTGGAGCCTGCTGCGTGCCAGGGACCCAGCAAATGTGTGAAGCTGAGGCACAGGACCAGAGCTGGGGTCTGTGAACTCCTGGAACCGTCAGGCTTGTTCAACGACCTCGCCTCCGTCACCCCTGCTAGGTCAGCCCGCGGCACTTGGTGGGCACTGAACACACTTTTGCCGAAGGCATGAATTGGTGAGTGGATGGACGTCAGTATGGAAAGGGTGGTCCAGGAGGGTCAGTAAAGGGGAGATCCCGACTCCCCTGGTCCTGGGCCGTCCCCCGGACCCTCACCCTGCCTCTGGACCATGACCCCCTACTCTGGTCTAGATCCAACTCTTGGCAGTGACCGTGCTCGTAACCTCTTCTTTGAGGGCTACTTCCAGAGGGTCAGGGGTGGCCTCAAGGGCCAGGCCAGATGCCCAAACTCCCCAGTTTCTCTCCACCTCCACCTTGGCAAACCCCTTCCCCTCCTTAGGTCCCCGCCTGTGCCGGAAGGGCAGCCTCACCCCGATGCCGCTTTGAGATCCGCTGCGGCAGGGGCGGAGTAGGGCCGGGGGGATGGGAGGGGGGAGCATCCCGTGTTATAATTATAATTATCACACCTTGGATCCTATCGCATGGTTTCAGAGGAGCTCCTTTCCTTCCCACGGATTCACCCCTCCTGGTCCAGGAAACCGGAGGAGAAACTGAGGCATGGGGGGTGGGACAGCAGTTAGGTCACGGGGTGGGCATCCAGCGCCTGTATCGCCTCCACCTTCCCATTCACAGTGTACCCCCACCCCTCCACAGTGCCACCGGCCAGGAAGTCTGTGAGCCCCTCCATCACTCACCCCTACTCCGCCATTTGGAGCACTGAGGGGAGGCGGGACTTGCCCGTGTGCAGTCAAATAAATATTGACGTACCCGGTGCACTCAGGCCAGGCGGCCACCCCTGGCCTTGGTTTGAGGTAGGAGTCTGGCCCGCCCTCATCTAACAAATACCCATCTCCAACTCACTCTCCGCCCTGTGCCCTCACCCTTGTGCGTCTCACGAGGGCCGTGCTCTTGGGGGAACAGGCCGTCACACTTAGGCTCTTCCTTCCCTCCTCTGGGATGAGGCCTGGGGAAAGGCAGATTCCAGGGCTGGGGCTGGAAGAAAATCCTGGCTGGGGGAGGCCTAGGCCAGTGCCTGGTTTCCTGGGTTCTGTTCTTTCTTCCTCACTGCCCCCCCTCCCCCCACCCAAAGTCTGGGCCCCACGAACGGGAGCAGTTCAAGCCCGGGTGGCATCTTCAGCGCGTGTACCCGCCCGAGTGGCATCGCCGTGCGTGCCTGCCTGCCTTAGTGTACTCACAGACACTTAGTGAGCACCGCTTCGGGGTAGGCTCCAGGGAGGGGACAGGGACACCTAACACAGGGTCCCTGTGCCCTCCGTGAGCCCTCAGTCAGGAGAGCTGGGACACAGAAACTTAAGGACGCTGTGGTCCACCAGCCTGTGTTCCCTTCCTGTCTCTGTGCACCTGCCGCATCCAGATTCGGGGCTGTTCCTGCGAGTACAACTGCAGATGTTCACAATCTGCTTGTGTCCACGCATCTGCTTACAACTCATCTCTGTCCCCATGGCAGGCTGCACGCCTAAGCCAAACCGGTCCGAGTGGGTTGTGCTGAAAGTTTTGTTTGTGTCAGTGGGGCTTGGAGGTGAGTCAGGGAGGGACAAGGATGCGTGGGGTGGGGTGGTGAGAAGAGTGAGAGCGAGGGTCGGGCGGGGGGGGGGGGGGGGGGCAAGGCGGGGGGGGGGGGGGGGGGGGGGCGGTCAGGAGGATGGGTTGGGGTGGGAGTAAACCAGAGAGCTCCTTGATGAGCAACATCCCTCTTTGCGGTGAGATCCCAGGTCAGAGAAGAGTCAGAGGTTTGGGGGGGGTGGGCAGGGGAGACCCTCGGGCTTTGGGAGAGACGAGAGTGGATTATAAATTGGCGGAACGAGGTAGAAGCCTGGTGTGGACAAAATGTCTGCCGCCCATTTCTACCCGGCTTTGTTTCTCCGTGTGAGAGGAAGCTGTTTCTGAGCTGCTCATTGCCTTGGTTTCTACAGTTTGTACAGAAAGGCTTTGGGGGTGCTGATGGACGTGGTGGCGGAAGACTGCTCATATGGACTCTGATGCCATCCCCCAGGACCAAGGCTTAAAGCTCACTTCTGCTCCTTCCTAGGATGCCCCCCACATGCAGAGAGCCCCATACGGAGCATGGTTTCCAGGAGCTTTTTCTCCACTGAAAAACACCTTTGCCCCCTGGGGCTGGAGCCACTGTGCCCAGTATTAGGATGGTGGCATCTTGTTTTCCAAGAGATTGCATCTGAAGGCTCCATCTGACACGTGCGGTGCTGTTCCTATCTCCCTGTGCTGCAGGCCCAGTGACGCCCAGTGACGCCCAGTGACGCCCAGTGACGCCCAGTCCCCGGCCCCATTCCTTCATGGCAACCACACTTCCTGGTTGCCTCCCAACACCCCTTGGAGCTCAGGGGGCTGGAGCTGCTTGTTCCTAAAGGTGTCTACAGCTGGAGTGACCCACCCGGGGAAGATGGCTCAGCAAAAGGCACGTGCGGGCCCTGTTCCCCAGAAGGCCGTTGGGTGCAGAATCCCCTCCTCCTTGCTCTCACCCCATAGGCTCCCCAGGCATCTGCAAATACAGGACCAACTCAGGGCCCGGGGCCTGGGATAAGAGACAGATGCCTTTATTCTTTGACCCTGTGTCTCTGGATGGGCTGGCACTTTTAGAAGGCTCCAGAAACAGGTCGTGGCAGGTCTAGGACGAGAGTGGGAGCCCTCATGGAAATCAGTCTTCCAAGCGGGGACGGTGGCAGCGGGGGGTACAGCAGCAGGGAGGGGTAAGAGCAAAGGCAAGCAGGGTCCTGGGCGCTTGGCAAGAGAACGGATTCTAGTGAGGATCCCAAGCTGTGCCCCCCTGCCCTCTCCCAGTCTCGTCCCAACCACACAAGGCACCAGGCCCCTCCCAGGAAGCCCACCTGTGGGGAGACATGGAGGCAGCCCCCAGGGCCCAGGTGGCCTGCAGAGCCTGCACCACCAGAGGCGCCTTCAGGAAGCACCAGGCCTTTGGAGTTTCTCACACTCATC